GGGGGAGTGCCTGCGCCTTCCTACGAACGGGATCGGCTCCTGGAGTGGTGGTACTTAGGAGTGGTGGGCTAGGGCTGGGAGGGAGGGCTGGTGCCGGGGAGGGAGACGCGGGACACGTAAGCCAACGTCATTCAACAAAGACCAGGGACAAGAAAGCCGGCCAGGGACGGGGAGCGACGCGGGAGGAGAGGGCCCATTAAGGGAAAAAGAAACCAGACAGCAGACGTTAATCCTGGAGCGGGGGATCCCTTGCTGCCCCTGCCCCTTTAAGTAAAACCAAATCAAATCAAGTCCGGAACCGCCTGGGAACCAGAGGGGCGACGCGTCTGAAAAAGACGCAAGCCCGTGCACTCTTGCTTTGCAGTAAGGCTGGTGACCTCCCACGGACGGCGACCTCGCGGGCTCCTCCGGTGGCCAACCCACGGATCGGCCCCCTGGGCAGCCGGATTCGCACTCTGACTCTCCCAACCGACCCACACAATTCTCTCTGATATGCACGCGTCCCTGGGGTTTGTTTGCGTTGCTTCCCCCCCCCCCCGCTCTGGGTTTCCCCTGAGGAACGACTTCCGCCCCTCTTCCTACGCCCGCTCTCGGAAGCAGCCCGCCCGGCCGCCCTGCTGCAGGCGCGCAGCTGATGCTCGTTCTCCCGCTGCCTCTGAAGCGCCGAGCCTCGGATGCGTGGGAGGGGCCGGCCGAACGATCGCGGGTCCTTGTTGGGAAATTAACCCGGCTCGGAGGATGGGAAGAAAAGAAAAGAGAAAGTTTCACGCACGCACATCCATCGTTGACTAATCTATTATGACAAAAAATATGATGGATATAGCTTATGTTAATCGCCCTGGCCTTTCCTCTAGAATTTAACTGTCAGTTAATGGACACCGGAAACTGGAATTCTACATGGCTCGCTAATGGGTTTAGGTATTAGCTAGTTCTAACGATGCATACGAATGCACTTGTCTCTGTAGGCTGCCTTAAGATTTATGGCTCTCTTTTGCCTTCGGTAGCTGTAAACAAGGAGAGGAAAACAGGGGAAAGAAATCCCAGCTTTGCTGCTCTTTCATGCCGCTTAGGAGCCCTTTCTTCAGGTTTATTCCCCCTCCCCCACCACCACCACCACCACCCTTGGAGGGAAAGCGGGCGAGGAAGAAATACTCCAAGATGTAGGAGGGAGTTTTGATGAAGTCCGCAACTCTCCCTAAAGCGCTGCTCTGCTGGGCTTCGGAATGGGTCTTCCTTCGCCCTCGCTTCCCGCGGGCCGACCGCCGCTTCGAAAGGCCTAACGAGAGATAATAAAAGCTCGGGGCCGAGGGGTTTCGCCTCCTCCGGGAGGAACGGGAAGAATTAGTGGGGATCGGGGAACTGGGCGGTGCGGGTGGGGAACCAAGGAGGGCCGGCTAGAAATTTGCCTTCTCCGTCCGCGTGGAAAACACGCGCTCCGACCACAGCAACCCGGGTGTGCCAGCTCCTTCAAAAGGAACACTTAAGCTTGGGGCAGGGGAGAAGAAGAGAGCGCTAAGCATTTAACTATGTATGATTTCTCTTAATAACACCCCCCCCCCCCCTGCCCGCGCCCCCCACCTCTCCTGCTTGTTTTGTTTTTTTTGGCTCTTTTGCGTCCCACATCTCCCCCCCTATTTT